CGGTAAGCAGAATTTTGCCATCAAATTTGTGGGGCTCCCAACACTTTAGAAGGGGTTTTAATGATTACTGAAAAGTATCTGTATCAATCCTTCCTGGAGGAAATATATCATAATGTTTTAATCCAGTTCTTCTCAATTCACCCTGTTATTATGTGCAGTACAGTAGACAATTTGTTCAAGCACCTCTTTTGTCCTCTTCTCCCCTCCCCCCCCCCCCCCCCCACATGAAGTAAATGAATGTTATAGTTATAATTGTATGTTTTTTTTTCATAAATTTATTTTTAATCTTGATAGGCCACCATCACTCCGCTGAGACTGAAAGGACCAATTGCTGCTCCTTTCACACCATTCCATCAGAATGGGTAAGATATTAAAGGGAAAATCCATGTTATTGTATTCAAACTTTAATTGTCAATATATTCATCTTACTGTTATTGACATACACAGTACAGGGGGACCCAAAAAGGGGGCTGTTAACATGTAGCAGCAAAGGGTTTGAATTTTGATACCGCTGGTTTAAAATCTTCCTCAACTAATATCATTTATGACATATTAGTCATTAAATTTGTTTGAAAATGCTCCAAACAATTGCTCAGATTGTGTCAGAGTGCATCTAAGAACCTTAGAGCCCCTACACAAGCCCAGTTCATACTCCTTCTGGGTTTCAATTTTACAAGTTTGAATTTTTTTGTTTGACCACCCTGTAGCACATGTATGTTTGAAAGTTTCACATCATATTGTATGTCATTGCTCAGAGATAGAAGAAAAAGTTTGTGAAAAGAGAATGATTTCTTAACCCAATACTTACATTCAGGCTGGGATCCGCGTAGCGATTTCTCCGGCCCGTGCCCCTCCCCCCCCCCCCCCCCCTCCCCCAAAACGGTAAAATAAATAGGATAATAATGTAAATTTAACTTTTTTTTAAAACAAAAAACAAAAACAAAAGCGGGCCCCCCTTGCCCCCCCCCTGCCCCAAAGAAGATAATTATAGAAATTAGCGGTTCTCCTCTCCATCACCCCCCTCCCCCGCTTATTCACCGGCTTGATGAATCGGCGCTAAACAAATTCTCAAGATTTGGCCCCCCCCCCCCTTGTCGCCAGCTGGATCCGCCCCTGCTTACATTGTACATCATATTTTTCCCATACTTTTTTATTTAATTTCCATTGCTCTCTGTTTATTCTTTCCTTTTGATAGTGACATTAACTTTGACGTCTTAGAAGAGTATGCAGACAAGCTAGCTGCTGATGGTGTTCACTATGTGTTTGGTAAGTCACAAATTCAGTCTATCCTGTATGTATGAAGAAGAGAGTTTGCTCAGTCCGCATTAGAAAGCGTCTGCCTGTCGACTTTTTATTATTTACACAATTTCTTGCTCTCTTCTACCTCGAGATCACTGGAGCGAAGAAATGCAACAATATCATAGCAGGAGTCCCTATTCAGTGTTGGTGAAGGATTATAATCCTTTTTCATCCCATTGAATGTTGTGTCCAGTATCATCTGAGGGTTTTTTGTGCTCTTTGAAAGGAGCACACAATGGGGGCAGCGCAAAAAGAGTTTTCATCTCTCACAACGGCTATCCAGGGGCCCTAAGGCAGACTCGCTTGGAAAATTTAAAGTTTAAAGTTCATAATCTGGTACTGTGTGAGAAGTCGTATGATTTTGTTCTCCCCATAGCAATTTCATCCAAATGAAAAATCCACGTAAGAGGCATTTTGAAAGTGTAAAGAAAATCCAAAAAATTCCAGGATATTCAGCGTTCTATTATATAGTCTATTTAAATGAGTGGAAGCACTGGTGGCTATATGTTTTTTTTAAACTAACAATTCGCCTTGGATCAGATATATACTTGAAACAAGCCTCATTATCTCCAGTATACATGTATCATTACTGTAAAATTTAGTAGTAGATTGTCTAAGTCTGAAACAAAATTGAGTAATGCTTGAGTCGTGCCCAGCTTAATTTCCAGCAATCATATTGTACATTGTTCTTCTTTATAAGTTGGAGTATACGATCGACCATAAGAATTTTCAGGCAATTGGCATCCCATGTTTTGGATCTTACAGCTTTCATATCATCACATCTGGATTGTCAAAGAAAAAGTGTGAGAACCCCTGCCCTAGGGTTACAGTGATTCAGTTTATAGCCTCCCAGGCACTTTCTAATTCCAATCATAAATATCTTGGTAATCAAACAGGCGATCAGCTTGTATAAGTCATGGGATTCCTGACTGACCTTAAGGTTTATAATTATGATTGCAGCATGAGCTAAATCCAGGATTTTTTAAAGAATCTGAGGCAATTAAAGATACCCAATCCCTTTAAGGGGCCCTTAAACCAGGTCTTGGTATAAAGTCATTGAAAAATTCTGCGATATATTCTTAAATTTGCCTACAGTGAATGGAACCACAGGAGAAGGTATGTCTATGACTGTTGAAGAAAGGAAGGCTCTGGCTGTAAAATGGATAGCTCTAGGGAAAACAAGGTATGTATAAAGAAGAGGATTATTATTAGGTGATGTACCGCGAAGCATGGCAGAGCATCTATTGATTTCGTCAGAATTTTTTTTGTTTCTTTTTTTTTTCCAATTCTTTCTGTATGAATCTTGTCCGGTGGATATCTCATTAATGGCGTGGTGCATGACCATGAATATCATGGCATGTGGCATACGCATGATTATTGATCCTAACAAAGACATTTTTTTTTATTACTGATGCGTGACGTCATCTAGGCGCCATTTGGTTAATTTCCAATATTGGCCATAGTTCAGTAATACATTGTCATTTCTGAATGATATTTGATACGCATAAACTTGAGGTCATGGGTAAACATAACATGTCAACAAAATCTGCGCTTTCTTCACTTTATAGCCATATGCATATGATGGTATCTTTCAGTGAAACCATGCAACATTTGATAATGATTTTGTAATGATATACTGTACACAATTTGTGCAGGTCTGTGAACATATTTTTTTCTTATGTTTGTGTGTGTGTATTGATTTATGCAGATTTCAGGCAGTTATTGTCCATGTTGGAGCTGCCAACTTGAAGGACATACAAGAATTAGTAAGTACTAATTAGAAGACATCGCATGTACAATAGAATGATGGTCAAGGCTATATTTTGTATGTCAACAGAAAATCCAAACATGACCTACAATCAAGTACAAATTTACATTCAATGCAAAAAGTCTGCGTTAGCCCTTGCATACCGTGGGTGCAATTAAATCTCGCCCAAGATCTAATTGGAGAGTTGAACAATATGTTGGGGATCTTAAAAATGGCTGCATACTTCTTCCTTAAACAGAAACAGGTTGACCTCTCCCTTTACAAAAAAAAAATTCCATTGAAGAAACATTACATGTACATCACCAAAATTCTACATTTGAAGGTTTATTTGCAACAATTGTTTTAATAATGTAGGTGCATGTGCAGAAGAGGATATGGGAGATTATGGTTTATACTTTTTTAAGATGAATTTGTTTGTTTTCACATAGCCTTAATTCTGCAATAACATGCATGATATTATGATGATTTTATCTCTTAATCCATGAACACATTCATGTGGTTCCTTGTTTGTTATTTACGTACACAGTCAGTTTCCCTGACAATGAATGCATGCATGGGCATTTACATGGGTAAAGGCATTCATGTACATGTGCATCCATGTATGTTCCTGTACATTATGTTGATTATCATAAGAGGCCTGTATGTCAAACCATGTTTTAAAGAAATGAATGACGCCCTTTTTTCCTTGTTTGATGTTTATATTTAAGACCATACCATTTGACATTGATTATATATGCAAATATCCATAGGTCATATGACACACTGACTGTTTATCGCAATGTTACCATGACAGCTACTAGCAGTGCTGGCCTTACCTATATTGGTTGGGATATTATATGTGCTATGCAACGTACTCATTGCCTGTGACAAACCCATGCCGCACTTATCTATAGCAAGCACGATACGATTCTAAATCTTTGAGCAGTAAACTCAAATGATTAAAAGAAATTGTAATAATGGGCATTCCCAGAAGCACTTATTATTACTTCCGCTTTAGCCTAGTTGCCATTACGCTCCATTAAATCCTAGCCAACATAATACCCCTATTATGCTCTGATCACCAGTTGTCATGACATTTTCTTGCTGAGCGTACTGCGGTTGATTTTAATCTATGAATACATGAATGCAATATCATTCATGCTAGGGCAATTAAAACTAATCAATATCCCTCCAAGGCCATGCAGCCATCGTAGTTGCTTATATTCTAGTTAACTACATGTAGTATTGTAATGTTAATGTATACCGTGTTTACACAGTTATCTGCCTCGAGGGTTGAAGCCGGGTTGAAGCCGCGAGGATCCCCTTCACATGACATAAAATTGCCGGGTTCAACACGCCTCGCGACTTCAACCCCGGCTTCAACCCTCGAGGCAGATCACTGTGTAAACACGGTAGTATTGTATCTACCGGTACATGCAAGTGAATTGGGAGGAGGGGGAGGGGGGGGGGGGTGCATAGTAGCTAAATTTCCCATTATAATTTGAAAGGAAAATGTATGAGATAAACAAAAAGAGGTTTAGGGCATAACAAGTATATTCCAAGGGAAAAAATCCTGTTCTCCCTCCCCATTTTAGGCCTTGGGGCATGCAACAGGATTCCCAAAAGTCCCCCAACCCCTGCACTTTTGAATACACTGATCTGCCTTTGGTATTGTGATACATGTATATGTTATCTTTTTTAAACGTTATAATAAAAAATAATATTAATTATCACCTGTACATCACCTCATTTATTGTGTTTCTAGTGATCGAGTGATATAATACCAAAATGTTTGGATGTTTTTTATGTTTGGATTTCAATCAGTATAGGCCACATTTGAAATGTTGTACATGTATGAAATTCACATTTAAAATGTTTGGATGTTTTTTATGTTTAGATTTCAATCAGTAGGCCACATTTGAAATGTTGTATATACATGTACGAAATTCACATTTTGAATTTGTTTCGTATTTTGAAATAGAATTTTTGAATTTTGAAATTTGACTTTTTTTGTTGTAGGGGAAGCATGCAGAACAGCATGGAGCCAGTGCCATATCAACTCTACCTCCCCTCTTCTACAAGCCTTCAAATGTTGGTAGGTATACTGCAGTACTTATGGATTTTAATATCATAATGTTATCATGCATATGTTTTACATGTAATTTTACTTTGTCACTGAATTATACTTTGAAAAAAAAATGCAATTCGGCTCTCAGGCCATGAATGTTTTTATGCCTCCGTTACAAAGAAGCCGGAGGCATTATGTTTTCGGGTTGTCCGTCCGTCCGTACGTACCGTCCGTACGTCCTGTTCTCGTGATCGCAATATCTCAAGAACCAACTGATGGATTCCTACCAAACTTTGGTCATGTATGTAACTTGCAGAGCCAATGAATTGATTAGATTTTGGGGTCATGAGGTCAAAGGTCACATGGCTCATTTTGTATGCAAAAATAGCTTGTGATCACATTATCATTAGAACAGATGGACAGATTACCATCAAACTCAGGACATGTTTGTATCTTGCTCAGGCAATGAACTGATTAGATTTTGGGGTCATGAGGTCAAAGGTCAAAGGTCATGGGGCTCATCATGCAAAAATAGCTTGTGATTGCATTATCATTAAAACCGATGGATGGATTACCATCAAATTGGCTAGACATGTATGTATCTTGCATTTGGGGTCATGAGGTCAAAGATCTTCTGAGAATCTGTTAATGGATTACAACCGAACTTGAATTTGAAAAATTTCTTCCATTTTGGTTTGTAAAATTGCTCTATGACGGAGGCATCACTTTCAACTGCACGCAGTCGAAGATCCATCTAGTGAATAATTTGAAGTCTATACATGTTTTTTTGGAGCCAGAAGGGCATCAACTCCAATGCTTATTCAAACACAGAGTTAAACTCTTCTAGCTCTGAACAGAGGATATGAAAATGAATCATAATCCTTTAAAATAATATCATTCTCTGAGACGCTGTTTTCTCATCTATATAGGGCTTTCTATTTTCAATTTAAAATTATCAGTGAAATCCTGGGGAGGGGTGAGAGGGAGGGGGAAAAGGAGGAACAACAATTTAAGCTATCATTCAAATAGTTGCTATCATTTCCCCCCTTGTAATCTACTTAATACCGGTACAAAAACTTGAGACCGTTGTAAATATACATAATTTTGTACGTGTACACTGTACATGTGTACTATTTTCTATTGTATGTGGCTACTGTATATTTTTCTGTAGCAGACTGTTATAGCAGACTAATACATTGCATCACTGTACTTTTATTGATGACATGAAGTTGCCCTTTAAAATGCAAGCATAATATTTTGCTTGTTACACTACGGTATTTGAAAAAGATTGGGAATTCAGTCTGTGATGTAAAAGCACATCTTTTTAACAAACAAAACTAATCTCACTTTGTTTCACATTTTTCATCTCGTTTTCAGAGGGTATGGTGCATTTCTTGGAGCAGGTAGCAGCGGCTGCTCCCAAAACTCCTTTCTTCTACTACCACAATCCATCAATGGTTGGTAGTAATGCCTGTAAGTTTTAGATTGTTGAATTGCCCCTTATTCTTGTGGATAGTACCAATAAGAAGTTATCCATTTATTCAGTTATCCTGCTGGATCAATATCTGTGTTATCCTGTTTTCTGGGGAACCCCAAACTTATCACCTTGGCCCTGTTTATTTCAATCATAAATACTAATAATCAAATGGTTATTGGACCATATGGATAGTAGACAAACTGGGAATTAGACCAAATGAAAATCAAACTAAATGAGCAATAGACCACATGGTTAATAAACTTTAATATCAAATAAATATTACTTCACTTGTATTAATGAGAACTGTTGCTGAGCTAGTGCCATGAGCGTCCCTGGACGGTGTGTGCGGTCTATAAGTTTACACCATTATTGTTATTATTATTAAACTTATTGGAGTTTAGACCAAATGGACATTAGACCAAATAGTTATTAGCCTAAATAGTCATTAGACCAAATGAAAAATAGATAAAATGATATTAGACTGTGTAGACGAACTGGTTGTAGACCAAATGGCAATTTACCATCTCTTTCCACCCATGTAGAATTTAGAACCTCATTTCATAAAAAACTTGTTCAAGATGGAAAGGTTGGTGTATGTTTATAAAGCTACAAGACACTTTGTATTTGATTGTCTATGAGCAAATGTGTGAAGATAATGATATATAGCAATTGTTTCACTGGAATCCTATACTAGAGTTAAAACTAAAGCTTCCATCAGTCTGTAGTTTACATTTTTTAATTCTATCTGTATTCACAGTTTCTATGGAAACTCTAGTGAAAGAAATATTCTCTTCAAAGCGCATTCCGACGCTCTGTGGCGTCAAGTATACATCCAAGGACCTGTACGAATACGGACGATGTTACGCAAAGCATGCCAGCTCTTGCCAATTCATGTATGGCTGCGACGAGGTAAATGAAAATTAAATATACCCAATACTTGTTCAGTTTTCAATATCTTTCAATGTACTTTATTATTATCATTAAGTATTTGGCGTCACCTGTGCCTGGGAGGCGAGAAGCGATCTGAATTACGGTAACCCTCGTGTCTCTCTTCCCAGTATAAGTGATTGGGAGTGTGCAGGTAGATCACTACACCGAGGTTTCCACTACTTTTATACAATTTGTGCCGTGGGTTCTTAACGTGCAAAGGTGGTGACTCTCCTCTATACAGGGCCTCCAATTAACATCCTATCTGAGGGAATTTTATGCCGTTTACTTTTTATGCCTCCGCCACCGAAGGTGGTGCCGGAGGCATCATGTTTTCGGGTTGTCCATCCGTACGTCCGTCCCGTTTGACCGTTATCACAATATCTCAAGAACCATTTAAGATTTAAACTTAAGACTCGGGAATAGTATTTATCACCATAGGAAGACGATCTGATTAGATTTTGGAGTACGTAGGTCAAAGGTCACAGGTCACAGAGGTCAACTTATGAAATTCCTTGTATTGAGTTTGTTAGCGCGATATCTCAAGAACCATTTGAGATTTAAACTTCAAACTTAAGGATAGTATGTATCACCATAGGAAGACGATCTGATTAGATTTTGGAGCACGTATGTCAAAGGTCAAGGGTCACAGAGGTCAACTTATGAAATTCCATACATTGAGATTGTTATCATGATATCTCAAGAACCACTGGAGATTTAAACTTCAAACTTAGTGATAGTGTGTATCACTATAGGAAAACAATCTGATTACATTTTGGAGCACGTAGGTCAAAGGTCAAGGGTCATAGAGGTCAACTTATGAAATTCCATACATTGAGATTGTTATCATGATATCTCAAGAACCACTGGAGATGTAAAAACTTCAAACTTAAGGATAGTATGTATCACCATAGGAAGACGATCTGATTAGATTTTGGAGCATGTAGGTCAAAGGTCAAGGGTCACAGAGGTCAACTTATGAAATTCCATACATTGAGATTGTTATCATAATATCTCAAGAACCACTGGAGATTTAAACTTCAAACTTAATGATAGTATGTATCACCATATCATAATATCTCAAGAACCACTGGAGATTTAAACTTCAAACTTAATGATAGTGTGTATCACCATAGGAAGACAATCTGATTAGATTTTGGAGCACGTAGGTCAAAGGTCAAGGGTCACAGAGGTCAACTTATGAAATTCCATACATTGAGATTGTTATCATGATATCTCAAGAACCACTGGAGATTTAAACTCCAAACTTGTTTAAATTGCTCTATGGCGGAGGCATCATTTTCGACTGCGCGCAGTCAAAATTCCATCTAGTTACTCTTAAATTGAACAACTTCAGCTCTTAGCAGCATGCATGTTCGATGATTATTTTATCCCAATAAACCAAACCAATACAATACAATACAATGAAAGGAGAAAATGCTTTTAGACATTTCAAGTTTAGAACAACCCCCAGCCTTTTTACTCCACCTGCACAATTTCTATTAGATAATCAATGTTTGATTGACATACAGTTCCGCCTGCGATCAACGTCACACTGATCGCACGCAATTGATCGCGCTCAAAATGCGCGACTATGAGCGCGATCGCGCGCTCTTGTTATGCGTTATCACTGAATGCGCATACTGTCCTCTACGGCAGAAAAGAGGCGCGATATTCTGTACGGCAGTATTACAAAAGCGCTCGATTCCGTTCAAAACGGCGGTAAAAAGCGGGGGTGTTTTAAAAATATCTCTCCCGTTTCAATTTTGTTTTCCTCATTAATACGTTGATTGTTTTCCCTTTTTGAAGATTATCTTGATCATGCATGCCTGCTATTTTTTAATTTTCTACTTCTAAAAACAATAATTATCAGCAAGGTTTTGTTGCCTCTACGGAGATCTAAAAACGATAATTATCGGCAATACTTTGTTGCCCTTACGGTGATCTAAAAACAATAATTATCGGCAAGGTTTTGTTGCCCCTACGGAGATCTAAAAACAATAATTATCGGCAAGGCTTTGTTGCCCCTACGGAGATCTAAAAACAATAATTATCGGCAAGACTTTGTGGCCCCTACGGAGATCTGAAAACTATAATTATCGGCAAGGTTTTGTTGACCCTCAAGAGATCTAAAAACAATAATTATCGGCAAGACTTTGTTGCCCCTACGGAGATCTAAAAACAATAATTATCAGCAAGGTTTTGTTGCCCCTACGGAGATCTAAAAACAATAATTATCGGCAAGGTTTTGTTGCTCCTACGGAGATCTAAAAACAATAATAATCGGCAAGACTTAGGTGCTCCTACGGAGATCTAAAAACAATAATTATCGGCAAGACTTTGTTGCTCCCACGGAGGTCTAAAAACAATAATTATCGGCAAGGTTTTGTTGCCCCTCCGAAGATCTAAAAACAAAAATTATCGGCAAGGTTTAGTTGCCCCTCCGGAGATCTAAAAACAATAATTATCTGCAACGTTTTGTTGCCCCTATGGAGATCTAAAAACAATAATTATCGGCAAGTCTTTGTTGCCCCTACGGAGATCTAAAAACAATAATTATCGACAAGACTTTGTTGCCCCTACGGAGACAATTAGTTGTCGCTGATATTACCGGCTTTGTGACAAAAATTAAGCCGACGGAAAGAAAGAAATGAATAAAGAAAATTAATTCAAATATCACTTGCGCTAGAGAAACAAAAAGTGAGAGAGATAGAAGCGAAAACGATTAAATATCGCTGATTTTACCGGCTTTCATGATAAAACTTAAGCCGTCGGAAATAAATAAAGAAAATGAATTGCAATATCACTGGCACTAGGGAAATAAAAAGTGAGAGAAAGAGATTGGTGAAAACAATTAAGTGTCGCTGATATTACCGGCTTTCATGACAAAAAAGCCGACGGAAAGAAAGAAACGAATAAAGAAAATATCACTTGCGCTATAGAGAAATAAAAAGTGAGATTTTTTTCTTCTTCTCCACCTCACTTTGTCACTATGATTCTATTTTGTACTTAAATTTTTGTAAATAATTATGGGTTCACTTATTAAAACTTACATATTTGTTTGTAAATTGTATTTTCATTGTTTTATATTCTGTTCTAACAAAACAATAGATTCTGAGTGGGGCATTCTGGCGACATTCCGAATGCCAATTGTATAAATCCGTGACGTAATTAACTATGAGGCCTAAAAAATAAAAATATATTGTGCCTTAGGTGCTAAAACATGGGTCGGTCGGAAAATAATCATCTTTTTTTTTTTCTTTTTTTTTTTCTCGCCCTTTTTGAGCAGATATTTTTCAGTTTTGAATGTTTCTTTTTTCTTCTTTTTTTTCTCGCCCTCTTTGGGCTGCTATTTCTCAGTTTTTAATGCTTTAATACATGTGTTTCATCGACATCATTCCATTCATATCTTTTCACCTTATACTAATCCATGGTTTACAATGTTGTGTTGAGACAACACTCTCTGCTTCCCAGCTGATGAGGTTTTTCAACTGCCTGTAAAACTTGCTAGCAATGTGAAGATTGTTGACAAATTGTACAGGTGGTCCCGGGCACAAAGTGGTCTCTTTACTAACCAAAGAAGGGACCGAAACTGACACAGGAAAAGACAGCCAGACACTTTTGCATGCATTAGGTTCAAATCATAGCCTTTTACAAAATTTGTATCTAAACTGGCCCGCTTCATAAAATATGCTCTTCATTCCTGTTTCAGTCCTGGGGATTGTTCCAAGTGTATGTTTGTATCCATTTGTTGAGTCTGAAATGAGTCAAATCTGACCCCAAAAAACAAACAATAATCAAATACATGAATGTTTGAACTCACTGTATCTCCATGTTTTAATCTGAGTTGTACAATTTACAAAGTTACAAACCAACTTACACTTTGTCTTGCTGGAAAACTTTAATAAAGAAACAATATTTGAATAAATAAACACAAATACATGTGTGTTTTCTCGCTCACATGAGTTTCATGGAACAGAGCGCATACGATCCCATTTGATTGCAACTGATCGCAGACAATTACTGCGTGTTCTGGTAACGTAGAGGCTTGTGGATATAGTTCTCAATGTTGTAGGGTAAGTTTGAAGGAAAGAAAAAGACAAAACTCTAACGTTTGAGATTCGAGGAAACATAATATGGGGATGTATGAGTAGATTCTGTCATGGGCGGAGATTCCTTTTCGAAAGGTTTACAAACGTGTATAGTCTCATTGCAACAGCATTCATTTGCGATCAGATGCAATCACGTGAAGAAAAAAGGGTCTAGCGGTAAAAGGCACAACAATTATAATTTTGGTGTAGAAAGCCCGGTCGACAAAGCCTATTCAAATTTTACAAGCAGGTAGATAAAACACAAATTATGTTCTTTGTAAACTTTATATTGCTATGGGCTACTTTGAAAATCAATCGACGGATCATTCTCATGGCTCCTCTTTGAAAAGACATAACGGAAGAATGTACTCTCACCGTAGCAGGTGTTTCGGGGTCAAGTTAAACATATGCGTCCTCAAAAGATTCCCTTTTTCTTTCAAACACAATTCTTGTCGTTAAGCAATATCCCTATTTCTGTGAGAGCATTCGCACTCAAGCAGACTACGAATCTTAATTTTGTTATGTCTCTCCAATGTATATAATAGTTAAAATAAAACGACTATCAATCGATCTTTCCGTACTGTAGCTTTATGCTTGAATTTCATTTTAATTATTCCCCCCCCCCCCCGACCGCCGCCTATATTATTAAGTGGACACTGTTCATCTATCGCATCCAAAACAGTTTAATCCAGCCCAGCAAAGATGAAAAATTATAAATGTGGCTGGGGAGAGAGATGCGGAAAGCTTGAAAATCTTCTATACTTGGAACAGAGCGCATACGATCCCATTTGATTGCAACTGATCGCAGCTGATCGCAGACAATAACTGTGTGTTCTGGTTACGTAGAGGCTTGTGGATGGTTCTCAATAGTTTGAAGAAAAGAAAGAAAAA